TGGACAAGTATTATATTAGGTCGTTGCAAAAGAAATGCAGGATTTTGCTTGCTTGTATTTCATACTTATTTTATTCCAATAATATGTTACTTTAATATGAAGTGTTATATACTATTCGGAAGCTCATCTCATGCTCTTTCTAAATGATACTCCAAGATTGGTTGTAATTCATTTTATTATATTTTTTATTGACGTTTTATTGCAGATGTCAAAACGTGAATTTCGCACTATTTTTTTCTATGAGTTCAAGCTAGGCCGAAACGCTGCCGAGACAGCTCGAAACATTAACGAAGTTTGGGGTCAAGGAAGTGTCAACGAATGTACGGTCCAACGTTGTGTCAGTAAGTTTGCGTATCTGGCAACACCAGCCTTGAAGATGAACCTCATGTTTGGTGGTCTGCCGCCGGTCTCATCCATCACAGCTTCCTGAATCCTGGTGAAACAATTACGGCAGAGAAGTACTGTCAACAAATCGACGAAATGCATCAGAAGCCTTCAACGCATGTGCCCAAGGTTGGTCAATACCTATTCTTCTCCACGACAACTGAGCCCCGACCCACACGTGTGCCTTTCCGGGAACACAATGCTCCCGACCCTCCAAGAAGTTAAACGGAAATTGGGCTTATGAGACTCTGCCCTCCATCCACCATACTCATCAGACCTGTCCGCCTCCACCGATTAACCCACTTTTTCAAAGCCTGCTGGACCAACTGTCTTAAAGAGAAAACCGCTTCAAAAAACCAAACCAAGACGATGTCAAAAACGCCTTCAACGATTTTGTGGCCTCTAAAAAGAATTACAACCAATCTTGAAGTATCATTTAGAAAGAGCATTAGATAAGCTTTCGAATGATATATAACACTTACATTTTATTGGAATAAAATAAGTATTAAATACAAAAAACAAAATCCTGCATTTCTTTTGCAACGACCTAATAGCAGGCAAAAGTCATTCAAACTAAATCGCACCATTTCGACGCCGTACCATAGAAGATAGCGTCAGGACTTACAGGCAGCGCCCACGTTCATTTGATGTTCCCGGCGTCAGGACTTAAAGGCAGCGCCCACGTTCATTTGATGTTCCCGCGCCCTCTCTGGATATCATAGCCCTCCCTATGAGGATGCAGTATGTACTAGTTTTGCATCTCAAAAAGGCGAGAGGATAGCGCCGTTCGCTAGTGAAGAGTCGGCCGCCCCGCCCACCTGGCCAGCATAGGGTTCTATATAGGGCATTTTCCATGATTTTTTCTGCTTTTTTCTTCACTACTGGATCACGTATTATATGAGCTCCATAACTCATTATTCTTGAAAGCGGGCTCAGCCTTTAAAGGCTAAGCCAAAGCAGTTATGGCAGCCAGGTGGGCGGGGCGGCATCCTCTTCACAAGCGGGTGGCCACATCCCATCACCTGATCACGTAAGTAGGAAGTCATCTCCAGACCATAGTCGGTCTGAAGAGGACTAGTCCAGGACCCGAGGGACCGTGTGGGTGCTGATAGGGGCCACTTATCACCGCAGTACTACAAGCAAAGCCTTTGTAGAACCAACCTTCATAATCATTGTGACTGTCCACTTGCCGACACTCTTCTTGATTTTCTGCACGAATCGGGCATCTTTCAGTTCCTTATCTTTGAAGAACCTGCAAGAACGGTAGTCAGTCCCGTAACTATTACTTAGTGTACTCTTTATGTTTGCAATAGCCCACTATAGGACTCCGTGTTCATTGGTCTTATTGAAAACATAGTTGAGCGATCTTCAGAAAATGCGATGAGCAACAGCTTTCAGCTGCAGCTAAGCCTCTGGGTCCAAAGTTATCGTAACCACTTCCGAGATCATTAGTAATCCACGCAAAGCTGTACAAAAACATTGTTTTCCACATGAAACGGTACTCACCACTGAATAGTTGGCTCTGGATTGCCACTGCAAATACACTCGAAAAGTACAGAGCCGTCGGGCTTGAAAAGAAGCGATGGAGGAGCCTCGAAAAACGGAGCGTACATCTGAAACAGGCACTTTGATCAGGACTCTCCCTCTGCTTCTACCTCTCTACAGGCTCGTTCACGAGAACGAGCGATGCTCAAAAGTACCATAAAAATGCGGGAACAGGTGTCAGTTGTTGAACGGAATGATAATGTGTTTTCCTCGGAGAAAGAAATGAAAGGAGACGAAGTCGGAAAACACGAAGGAAAGAAAAGTGGTAGAATAGTCTAGTAATATAGTTGACATCGTCGCAATCAGCGGGGAGGTGCTAAGTGGGATCAGGGT